CAGGTGTTGTGAGGAGCCCAGATCTCCCGCCTGGTCACTCAAGGACCATGCCTCCAGAATACTGGGATTAAAGGCATGGACATACACCACTTGGATTCAATTCAAGTCTTAAAAGCTCCAAGAGTCTATGCTAGGACTAAGATTTTACAGGAAGGAAGTTGGATGTAGATGAATTCTATGTTGATACCAAAGACAACTCTAGAACGCAGAGGCAAAGAGACAAACTAACTCCAACACACAGTGAGAGCTAACATTGGCGTAGAGTACTCTACGCAGAGAGATGGGACATTTCCTGTAGTGTGGAGACAGAGGCTGTACCCAGACTCCAAAGGTGTGGTGGATGCTAGGATTCTGTCCTGGTGTCTGACATGTACACTCTGGCTTGTGCATGGGCTTCTCCCATTCTAACCCTCCTCACTTTTCTTTCACTTCGTCTTGATGAGCTTTCTATGCTGTATACAGTCTCTGGCTGTTTGCCAGACTGTGGGTTTCACGACCCCTGACGTCCTGGAGCCTCCCTTCTCCCACACCTTGTAGGTCATCAGGTTGGAGAGCAGCATCACCTGCCTCCTGTCGATGCTAATGCCATGGTTGACCATCGTGTACGGGATCTCTTTGATGATGGTTGTCCGGGCAACCTCAATGCCCAGAGTTTTCTCCACCTAGGGAGAGCTAGGAGTGAGTGGAGGTGGTCCCTTCTGGGAGCTACCTCACTCCTACTTCTTCCCTTTTGATAAGCACAAAACACACGCTGCTCTATTTCCCAAATCAGGTTGCTGTGTAATTGTTGGGGAAGTAAATGCCAGGGACAGGAAACTGCTGCATATTGGCTGAGGGTCCAGATGCAATGGTACCTCATAGGTGTTACTGGAAGTGTTCCGGGTGCCTTTCATACCATGGGTGGCTATGACTGTCCACAGGCTGACACCTTCTACTAGACACTTAAACTTTTCCTTTGCCCTCTGCTTGCTGATATGGATGATCTGGACAATCCCGGGATACCCTGTTCCACCACCTATGTTCAACACAGAATGCTCAAGATACTGCAACCTCTAGGTCCCTACAGAGAGCCTCATAAACAGGGCTGAAGAATGGGCTGGTATCCTAGTTCATGCCCTTCTCAGCATGAACTAACCAACACACTAACCAGCAGTGTGTGTACTCCAGGAGTGCTTACGTACTGCTTAGGGTTAAAGGACAGATGGTTCAGAGGACTGTGCCACAACCTGCAATCAGCTTGGATAGAGAGCATAAAGAAGACTGACAGAGAGAGTTGTAATCTCAGAAGTCAGTACAAGAGCTAGCTGAGGGCTCAGTGGAGAAAGGAGCCTGCCACCAAGTCTGACAACCTGAGTTTGATCCTTGAAACCACAAGGTAGAGGGAAGGAGCCAAATCCCACAAGCACACCACCCACTCTCCCACACCCCCAAACCAATTAAGAACCAGACTGAGGCCATGGGTATATGGCCATGAAGTACTCAGTGCCATCCTTGATCTCTGTAGTGCCCTGGTCCTCATCCCCACTCTTGGCTATCTCCAAAAGAGGACTCTTGGTCTCACCTTGGGTAGATCCTTTTTCAGAAACTGCAGCACATAATACATGGAGCTCTTGCTGTTTTCCCTGGGTGTGACACACACCACGGCCTCACCATGAACAGCCACATCACCAGGCTTCACTTGGAGCTTGGATGTGCAGATGGAGTACCGCACTGTCTCAGCATTCACCTGCAAAGTGCCAGGGAACATTACCAACAGACATCTGCAGACTTCTATGTCAATGGCTTTCAGCCTTGATGTCATGATGCCTTTTCCCCCTCCAAAGACAGGGTTCTCTGTGTAGTCCTGCAGGTCCTAGGACTATGTAGACCTGATGTCCTTTAACTGAGAGATCGGCCTGCCTCTGCCTGGCTCATGGGGGCTCTTGAAGTCTTAATAGTCATGTTTGTACTGCCTGGTCTACCACAAAATTTATTTTATTTTGATTCATATGTATGTGTGTTTGTACCTTGTGTAGGTACACATGAAGACAAGTGAGGAGCCATCTCCCCTGGAGCTGGAGTTATAGGAGATTGTGATCTACTCTATGTGGGTACTGGAACAGAACTTTTGTCTTCTGGAAGAGCAGTTAAGTGCTCTTAACTACTCAGCAAACTCTCCAACACCACAAAATTTTGTTATACAACACATCTATGTTCATTATCTCTGCTTGATCCATAAGTAGTAGATTTTTTTTCACTCAAAGGATGAACATTTTCCTCACTGAAATTTTATGCCCTACCAATGGCAACAAACAGAGCCATGGAGAAAGTTCTGGACTGTCTGGAGAATGGAGGCCAGGAGGACTGAAGGGTTGTTGTTTGTGTGCTACACTTCCACATGTAACTGGATTCTTCATTTTCCCCCCTTTTTCTGGTCCCTAGATAAAACCCAAGACCTTGTACATGTGAGGCAATTACTCTACTTCCAAGTTACATCAATGCTTATAAATCAGCTCTGTTACCAGAGTCACAAGGCCCACAGCAAGAAAGACTTGACTGTCATGTGGGAACCACAAGACTGTGGCCTGTGGCACTTGAGAATGGCTTTCGGAACTGTTTCAAGGCTAAGACTGACGTAAGAATTAGAGAGCAAGGGGAAAGTGGCAGTTCTCAGTCTGCAATCCCAACCCAAGTCAGCTGACCCCTGGATCCATGGTTACCAGTCAACTGTTCTCCATCTCCACAAATACCAGTATAAGGGGTTAGTTTAACCCACCAACTGAAAACACTACAAACCAGCCAAGCCCTATGCTGAGACCCACAGGTGAGTAAGGCAGAGATGGCCCAGGCTCCTTCCACAAGACATGAAGACGGACACAGAGATCAAATATCCTAACATGCTGTGATGGTAAACCCACAAATGTAGAACACACACACACCAAGTCAAACAGTTTCTTATGATGGCCATGTCTTGTCTGCATTAGGGCCAACTCAGAAGGACATGACAGTTAATGGGGTGACCAACAACAAAGACCAGCCAAAATTTACAGTGGTTCTCTGCCTGCTGAACATTAACCCTGGTTTGTCAACACCTGTACAGGACCATGGGATCACATCCTCCTCAGGAACATGAGGTTTCCTCAAAGTTTTAGTGGTTTCTGACCCATTTTCAAGTGGTGGCTTCCAACTACTAGAAAGAACGGAATAAACAACCTCAGTGGAAACACCTTCTGCTGCTGGAAAATCTGGGCCAAGAGGCACTAAACTGAAACCCAGATGAATCTTGTCCAATTACTATTCAAAAAGATTGGTTCCAACTCATATTCCTGGCTACAGTATATGAAATGAGCCTTCTGTCCAACAACCATTCTTTATAATGCTTGTCTCTAGTCCACTCCACTAAAAGAAAGGAGCCAGAGCCTCTTCCATTGGCATCTGATTTGACTAACAATAGGCTCAGGAGTGAAAACAGACAGAGTAACTAACAGTAGCAAGGTACCAATTTAGTACTGAAGCACAGATGATTAAGTGGGAAGTGTGGTACTATAAACAGTATCAACACCTAAGACAAAGCCCCCCAGAAGATTGTATCCCTCAACAGAGTGCTGCATCTCACTTTGATGTTGTCCAGAACCCTTTTAAACTCCAGAGGCTCATCTTTGCCCTCCATGGCGGCAGGATCTAAGCCATCTCCTCCGTTGATGAACTGGATGATGTCACCAGTGGAGCTCAGCACTGTCAGATCATACTGGGAGCAGAGGTCTTCCAGGGATTTGACCAGCCTTCACTACAGGAAGAGAAGGAGACTCAGCTGCCTGGGGAAGACTGCTTCATAGCACACAATCACACTTGCCATTCAATTTCAAGGTTATAGGTCATTTGTTTGCTTGTTTTTCATGGTGCTAGAGATGAACCCAGGGCCTTGTGTGTGCTAGGTAAGCACTCTGTCACCAAGCCCCATCCCCAGCACGAGGTTACAGGTACTGAAATCACATCAACAGCACTTTATTAGACATCCCTGAAGAGTCCCTCCTTTGCCTGAGAACAGCAGGGCCACCAGTGCCTCAATAGCCTGTGCAGTGAGAGGCAGCTCATGCTCCAACCTCCCATGTTACCTGTGTCAAGTCTCCCTGCAACAGAAACCTCACCAGCCCCAAGAACTCTGCACACTGCTTTCCTGGGCTGCTTAGCCTTCCCACTCAGCTCCCTATGGTGCAAACTGGTTTTTATACACATTCCCACCAGAGTCCATGCAGACTTCAGTACAGAGAATCAGGTGCAAGCCCTCTTTTGGGACAGAGGATGAGGAAGCAGGGCTACAGACTATGAATCAAGGGCAGCACCCATTTCTCAACTATGCTTGGAAAAACCTTTCTCCACCAGCCAGCAGTGTGACTCTGGCCCAGAGAACGAGAGAAATCCTAGAAAACAACCTTGATCTTGCCAGAACCCACTGCTTCTAGGTTATCCTGGTGCTCTTGGAAATTCATACTGTACTTGTGAACACCCTAAGTCACAGTTCCCCATACCACATTCACAGTTCCTTTTGACAAATGTAGCACATCTCAAAACCAAAGGGCAATTCCCAGCAGATGTCCACAGCATCAGGGGATAACAAACAAATACAGACGGGGCACTGTCTGCACAAGGGACTCCGGCCACTATCTTACCCTCTTCACCTTTATCTGGCTCACTGGCTCATCAAATCCTGGTTTGCAGTCTGCAAGGTCCTCATGTCCACAGAGGGACAGACAGGACACAAAGCTGTATCAAGCATGTGACCCAACAATGTGGCCTGTCACCTTTAACTGGTGTCATAAACAGTCAAAAACATGAACAATTTTGGGGGGCTAGGACTGTGCTCATCAGTTAATGCACTGGCCTAGCATTGAGGAGGCCCTGGGTCCAATATCCAGCAACAGAAACACACGAATTTTCTTGCAACACATAGAGCTACTGATGTATCAGGGAGTGGAAATGATCCTGGTGTCTAGAAAGAAATCCTCTGCTGTGACCTATAGAGAGAGAGACAGAGGGTCAAGTTTTACAGCCATTTGTAAGTGCAGCAAAGAACCCTCTCACTCAGCCCTGTCACCCTGAAGCTGTAATTCCTGGGAGCCATGGAAAGGATGAATAATGAGACCTCAACAGTGGCAAAGTTAGAGTCAGAAACCTCTCAGTAACTAGCAGGCAGTTATCACCCTCATGCCCCAGTCATGCTAGGAAACAGCTAAGGGAGGCTGAATGGTAAGTCCAGGCTACAAGCTCAGCATTCCCCTCTAGGAGACTTAGCCATCTGGGACTCTGGCCTACTCTCTACCTTTCAGAGTACACAGGATATGAGCAGGCCGGGCTCACATACAATGTTGTTGCTCTGTGGCCAATGACACTTCCTCAAGTTACCTGCATGGGTCCTGTTACAGAAGTCTTTACAGCAGTGTCTACAAGACCCTCCTGACCAGCCATTATGTGGAAGAAAAACTCAGTAGGCATTAAGCCAGAGTAAAAGCTATTGGCCACAAAGCTTTTGCCAGCAGGGAGCTAAAGAGAGGTAGGAAAAAAGAATATCAAGCAAGTTTCCAGGTCCAAAATTCTAAAATCCATCCACATAAGAAAATGTCCCCTGGAGGCTACACACATACCCAGCCAGTGACCCAAGAACTGGCAGGTGCCCTACACCCTTGCCTACAGGAGAAATAATTTGGACAGGCCATCTTTGCTAGGGTGTCAAGGCAGGTAAATGGCTCAGAAGAGGAAAATATGAATTGGAGCTGCTAACCCAAAAGTGTCAAGGGCCTCAGATGGCACCCAACCCATTCCTTGGGAACCCAATGTCTTCAAGACATCCATACTGCGGGCCAGCCCGCCCACCTCCAAACCAGATCCACCTGTAGCTAGAGCTACTGAAAATGTAAAACAGACAGTACTGATGGCGGTGCAACTCTGACACCAACAGTCACCGAAGAGGAGCTTCACATGGGTGAAGACTGACATGAAGTACAACTCAGTGCCACAGCCACACATTCTATGTAAACACCCAGTGAAAATAACCAATGGCTTTAGATCCTGATAAGTCTGTGTTCCTCAGGGGACAATCTAGACAAACAGACCTTCAAGCTTCCACTGCCATTTACCTTCGAATGCTTCTCAAAGTGAGGCAAAGATCTGTTTTCAAAGCCATCTGGAACCCGGGAGCCACTGATGGCTTGCTGTCCCACACAGGCGATCATCTGTGATATGT